CCAGAGGAGGGGGCAAAAGAGGTGAGGGGGTGGGGACAGAAAGTGGAGACGAAAGCAGATGACAGAACATTGCAAGAGAGTATGAAAGGAGGTGACAGGATAAATTTGAGAGAAAAAATGTTTTGGGTCACTACCGGGATTCGAACCCGGGACCTTTGAATGAGAGGCGAGCACCTTAAGCTCTAGGCCACGAGAGCCCCCTGCTCTGTTACTTAAACCATTACAAATTGATAACAAACTACTTTTTTCTTTTGTTAATTGTATTATGGGGATTCTAAAGTGCCTTTAGTTGTCGTCGCGGGAGTTAAAGGATATCAGCAGTGAGGGTCTAATTCCAGAAAAAAAGAATGAGATGCGAAATGAACTATTTTCCCAACATGGGAATGGAATGGAAAGCAGGTTTTTATCCTGCAATGATGAGAGCCTAAAGCTATGCATCTGTCTCCAGTGACATCAAGGTTTTGCATAAAAATTAGCATTTCTCTATAGGCAGAAGATGAAATAAATAGAAGGACCAAACGGTGTATGGTTTATAATATGTAGGAACTGGTCCAGTAGTCACGAGGAGCTCTTTAAACAGATTACACTTGAGGATTAACAAATTTGCAGAGTACAGAATGCCTGTCTTATTGTCCTCAGTTATATTCATAATGCATGTTACTACTATTACTTTAAGGAAAACGGAAATGTAGCATGAAGTTGAATCAGAATATACAAGTTTAGAACTGAATTGAAAGTTGACCGGTTAAAAAATACAGTGGTATTTTCATATAGTATCCTTTGCCTTAAAGAAAACTTGGAACGTATTACTTTGAGGAACAGTGAAAATCCAACTACCCTCTAAATCTACTTATCAATGGCAATGACATACACAATTAATTTTTTTTTCTGATCTCAGAAACAGTTCTTTAGAAGATATGTCTTGATTATTTTTTTTCTTAAATAATAAAAATAAAGATTAAATCTTCTGACTCAAAGCTCTGACAAAAATGTCAAGTGTAAGGATCTACTCACAGTACAGTTCTGGTGCACATGTTTGTGTTTTGAATATTAATTATGCTATTTGGTTGATGTTTTGTAAACCTAGACTACAGCGTGGGTGACCACAAGTCTTTTCCCATTGTTTTATCAGATTATCCCGTCCCCGAAATCGTGAACTGTCCTTCCGGAGCAAAGGTCAGCGGTGACTACATCATGTCCGGATCAACAGCCACTTGTGAATGTCGTCAGAAAACAGAGGGTGTTCCTGCAGGCACAGTTGTTCTGTCTCAGGGCGGGTCTACCTTGGGCTCAGGAACTGTCGCCTCAGGGACTGTCAACAACCCTGGTGAGTTTGAAGTTCAAATGTAAGTAGATTTAAGTATTTTTTAAACTTCCTAATGACCGTGTTGTTCAGACTCATTTTTTCATTCTTTTGGCCGCAGTGCGACTTGAAGTCAGTGAAGACATACAGCACTGCGGTATCTTAGTCGTTGGGCTTGTTTACCTATTCTATGTTATCAGTCTATGACCTTCTTGTCAGTTAATGTCAGAATATCATGTGGTCCAGGAAGTATTCCAAGCAGGAATACGGTGCAGGATTTAACAAACAGAAGCAGCATCTACAAAATGACAATTACAAAGAAGTAAAGCGTCATAAAAGTACCAAGCTTTATGAAAATATCAGACTGAGACAGGCTTTCTCTGTGGACAGTATTCTGGCATGCTTGTGAGTAATGGAACTTGATCGCCTATATTGAATTTCGATAAGTGTTGCAGAGAACACACTGTTTTAAGTACTCTCTGAGAAGATTTTCTTCGTAACCATATCTCCTATAGTGTAGTACAGGACTGCCACAGCCAGTTAGTTAATCCTATGACGTCTTACTGACAGCAGGGAAAGACAGGCAGAACAAAGTCTCCAGAGCACACCTCACTACCAAAAGAGTTTAGCTGGACAATCTTGCAAGACACAGAAAAATGAAAAAGAAGGAGAGGAAGAGAGGGAGGGAGAGGTGGGAGCAGGCCTGAGGTGGATGGGAGTGCAGAATTTTGGAATGGACAGGCATGGACCTAGGCCCTACCCTGAGAGAGATAGAACAGAGGGAAGGGGGTGGGAAGTTATCTATGTTGCCAGCGTGGACAAAATTTAGGAGATAAACTTGAAAGAACTATACCTTTGAGGTCAGTAGGGTAGAATAATTACACCTTTCTAAGCATGAACCATACAATTCCCTGAACATTCTCCTACTACAAGCAGGATTGGAACCTCTGACATTTTCATTTCAAGGTCGACCCCCTAGACCTGCTCCAGCCTGCATTTCCCCGCCCACCTCCAAAATACAAGCAAATAAATGCGAAAACAGACATATAGCAACAACGTAATCCGAATCCAGATGTCGCACCTTGAAGGAAAAAAAAGTTATAAAAAATCAAAGCTTTTAAGGTTTCTTTTTTTTACTTTCCCCATTTGCCATGATGTCATTTCTTTGCTCAGTAATGTGCTGTTGATACGTGAACTGTTTTTGTTTATTTCTATTACATGGTGGTTAGATCTAGATATAAATATATTATATTTTAAAATAAGATAGTAAACTAGTTGCAATTCCCTGAACATTCTCCATTCATAAAGTTATGACATGGAATCTTTTTTTTAAAATACATGCTTGTACTACTGTCCTCAGTTCCTTTGGGTCACAGTTTGGGTCACTCTCTATTCTGCACCCGAGTGACACCTTTAACTTGTTATTGTGCTTTAGAAAGGCCCATCTTGAATGACATGATTATTGGAAACACTTGGTATGAACAACCACCAAGAAGATTATGGACCTGGAAGAGTCCTGGAGACAGCGCTGGCAACCAGATCGACTATATCATGATCAAGAAAAGGTACAAAAACGGGATGCTAAATGTCAAAACGCGCCCAATATCAGACTGTTACGGTGACCATGTACTGGTAGTGGGAAAATTTAGAATCAGATTGTAAAGAACACACATGAGCAAGAACAAGAATATGAAACTAAACATGGCATTACTACAGTCAAACAAAGAAATTCAAGATAAATTCAGAAAAACTGTACAGAACAAATTCTGCCCCTTAGAGGAAATACAAGACATAGAACAACAATGGGAACAGCTTAAAACAACTATAAATGAGGCTGCAAAAGACGTCATAACAGAAAGTACAACAAAAACAAAGAAGAAATGGATGACTGAAGAAATTCTGAATCTTATGGAGGAACGAAGAAGAAACAAAAACAATATGGAAAAAATATGTGAATCTTCATAAAGAGATCAGACACAAATGTAATCTAGCAAAAGAGACCTGGTTAAAAGAAGAATGTGAGGAAATGGAAAGTCATTCCAATGCGAACTCAAAAGATCTGAACAGAAAAATTAAAGAGGTGTGCCATACAAGAACATGTGGATCAACAGGATGCCTCAAATCAAAGGATGGGAATGTCATAATGGACAAAGACAAGATACTAGAACGTTGGACAGAATATATCGGTGACCTGTACAGGGACAATAGAGATGAACAAAGAAGAGTGGAAAATAACAACGAGGGACCACCAATAATGTAAGAAAAAGTTATCAAGGCACTACGAAAGATGAAGAATGGGAAAGCTGCAGGACCGGACAACATTACCACAGAGATGATTAAAGCTTCAGAAGACTTTGGTATCACCAAACTGACAAAATTTCTTTACAGCATTTATGCCACTGGACATATTCCATCAGACTTGTCAAAATCTATCTTCATAGCTTTACTAAAGAAGCCTATTGCAAACGAATGTGAAACGCATCGTACCATCAGCCTCATTAGCCACATAACAAAAATACTAGTCAGATTAATTATGATGAGAATGCGAAATAAAATTCTCCCAGAAATAGCCCAAGAACAGTGCAGATTTATTGTAGGAAAAGGCACTGTAAATGCCATATATGTCATCAGAACACCTATAGAACGTGCTCTAGAAGTTCAGAAAGATCATTTATGTTTTATAGACAACACCAAGGCATTTGACAAAGTTAGGCACGACAAGATCATCGACATGCTCGAAGTCCTCAATGTTGGCGGGAAGGACTTAAGGATTATCAAGAACATGTACTGGGATCAAACTGCTGCTATGAGAATAGAAAACGACATCAGCGAATACTTACAGATTAAAAGAGGAGTCAGACAAAGGTGTGTACTTTCTCCAGACTTGTTCTCCCTGTATAGTGAAAACATCATGAGACACATAGAAGAAATGCCAGGTATCTCGCTAGGTGGACATAATATAAACAATCTAAGATATGCAGACGATACAGTCCTTATACAAGAAGATGAAGAACACCTACAGAATCTATTAAATGTCATCGTACAAGAGAGTGACAACATGGGCTTAAGCCTAAACGTCAAGAAAACCAAAACAATGGTGATAGA